CCCTCCTCCTCCTCCTCCTCCTCCTCCTCCTAACATTTTGCTGGTCGGTGACAAGATTGATGTCCCATATGTACGTCGGGATGCGTCCTCTTTGCTTTAATATCTATTTGGTGGTACGGTTTGGCCTTGGATATCAATGGGGTTGTCCTTACATCTCCGTTCCTACTACAGTGGCTCTCGGTTGGGGTGGTTTTGGCCGCTCACCAGATACTTATGGTGGTACTTATTTTTGGGTTTTGTGATACTTCTTTTGAGTGCCAGACTTTGCACCTGAGTTTACAGGTTTTATTGGTTTCATTAACTTAATATCTACTTTCACGGGTTTTCTCTCTTTCTCTGGCCTTTATTACTGCAGGTTTTCTCGCGGAAAGTTGATGTTTGTGATGCTGATACCGCCTGGAGCTCTGCACTTCATTTTTCTGTTCTTTTTTTATTTTTTGGTGTACATCTTTTGTGGGGTATACGATTATATATATAATTGATGAGTATTTTTTTAAAATAATTTAATTAACTACAAGGCCACAAAGTTTTATAATCAATTAAAATTATTAATTAAAGAAATAGAATAAATGTATATTAAATTCTTTTTAATGAATACTTTAATATAAATAACAAGATTTAAATCCCCACCCCTACTCTTATTATTATATAATTGAATGACTAGAGCTATCGAAACGACTCGTTGTTTGCAAACAGCTCGTGTTTGGCTCACTAAACAAACGAGTTGAACACAAACAAATTTTTTGAGCTCGATATATAACCGAGTCAAACACGAATAGTGTTATTTTTTAACAAGCCGAACACAAACCAAGCATCGGCTTGCTCAAGGTCAGCTCATTTACACCCCTATCTGCAAGTGCCCCCACTATTGCTCCGCCCTTGGTTGTCCCATGTACGTGTTTGCATATTTACATTTTTCATTTTTAAAAATATGAAAAAAATTATTGTGTTTGTTCAATGTCAACAAAGTGAAATTCCCTATCAGTCTTATGATTGTGATGCTAGAACCGGCAGAAGAACCAGAATAAAAATAGCCTGAATAGGAAGTTCATGAATAATACTTCATTTTTGTGCTGTGTGGATGATATGACCATTCATATTTACTTGTTTCTTCTTGGAGAACCTGAAAAAATTGAATAATTACTGCTCTACTTAAGCGACATAAACCTCCGTCAACACAGTTCCTCTTTGTATAATTTCTTTTCAAAAAATATGGAAAGAAGATCAGTCATATTGCCTGAAAATTAGCATTAAGTTGTTTTAACGCTTTGCAGTGGCATATGGCATAGATAAAATGAATCAAGAAGTATCATACTGGATGCAAGGTTTGTATGAAGATAAAGATAGCCCACAAATTCCTTTTATAGCTACCAGAGGTTATGATAGCGTCGTTTGGAATCGCTTGTATTCAAGAGATACTACAGACATAGAATACATGAGTTGGCGGGTATGCATATTTCCAAACCTATCTGTAAGAGTGACCTGGTTCCTTCTCTCTTAAGTCTTTTGTAGAGAGAGACAGTTGACTTCTTATTGCATGTTAGCTTTTCTCCATGTTGGATCGAATCTTTCTCTCAGATATCTTCTATTCTAGAAGAAACACTTCAAGCAGTAGGAGCTAAGACAATGGTGGTTGGCCATACTCCACAGTTTAATGGTGCAAATAGGTATGTTCTGTTTTGAGATAATTTCTTTCTACGACTTACTCTTATTATATTAGTCTTTTTCTCATTTTCCTCTTTTGTTGATATTACTACTGAATTTCAGCAAATACAATAAAAGAATATGGTGCATTGATGTGGGCATGTCAAGTGGGGTGCTTAATTCAAGACCCAGAGGTAATATATCCTGCATCTCATCTTTTTTTTTTTTTGGAATTATAAATGGAGCAACAAGTGCCGTAACAAAACTTGTGAAGGCAACACTTGAGAAGCAATGATTTCCTGGGAGTCATTTTGTCTAGAGTCTATAAAAGAGTCAATTTAGTCACCAGACTCTTTTAACATGGGCTGAAAGCCATATTAAAAGGGTCCGGACACTAATTTGTTACTTTTATAGACTTTGACTCTAAAATAGCCCCATTTAAATAGTTAGGTGGCTATTTAGATGCTTTACTCATAATCTTTTATTTGTAATTAATTGCTAATAGAGTTCAGGAGCTTCATTAATGTAGTATAGTTCCTTTAACTTTTTCATTCTTGAACTCAGGTTCTAGAAATAATAGATGGCAAAGCAAGAGTTTTGAGGGAAATCGATGATTCAACACTATCAGAAGCTATGGATTATTTATGAAGCATTTAAATTGATGTACAGGTATGGTATGTTCTTTGAATGCTATTTTATTTTTTTAGTTATAAAACTTCATTCGATAAGATCACGCCATGCACCATATGAATAAAAGCAATAACTTTCTAGTATCCATTTATTAATTCGGCTACATCCCTTGAAGAGGCAAACTAAACTTAGAATTTTAAGTGTATATGCCAGGATTAATTCATTAAAAGACCTGCAGTTTTATTGTTCGTTAAAGTTGATATGTACCACTTATAAAAATCTATGATTAGCTGAAGCTCAAATTATGTATTTTTATTTTTAATCAGAAGTCAGTTCAATCTTTCTCAAGACTGGGAACCATTTGAGTTTCATTGCTTTGGGCATCTATGAACTTTCAGATAGTCTTATCTTAATTTCTGAAATTCAGTTTCTATTAGTTCTTACAGGCGTTTAATATTTAGCCAGGATAGCTGATAATTCTTTCATAAAATATTGTGTTGGAAGAGTGTTTCTTCCATTGTTGCCTTGTCAGAAGTTAGAAGGCAAGTGCGCATCATTAATCAATGGCTGTTAAAAAGTGAATTCAAACGTGCTTGGTGGCAAATATGCTTAATTGCATGTTGATTTATTTGCAGGATTCTTTGAGAAATTACCAAGTTGCTGGCTGTATATTCATCTTTAAAAGACCTATTTCATAGCAATTTTTTTGAGATCTTTGTTTGTGGAAGAAATATTACAATATGCGATTGTAATTTTTTTTTTGCTTTGCATATATTTTTTATACCTCAGAAGTGCAAATAAATAGTAAACAGTATTGAACAATCTAAAAAAAAAATCAAAACTTATAGCCTGTTTGGAACAATTTTCTGCTCATGTTGTCTTTCAGACTTCTACCACAATTCTATTTTTCAAATTATTTTCATGTTCTCTAAAAAACTTGTGATAAGGTGCTATTTGGCTGTATAAAAATTCATATTTGAATTTTTGGAAAGATAAATATTTATTATTATCACTGCAGTTTTATAATAATTTATTTCTCCTTTCACAGCTTTGCAACCACATTTATAAAAATCTGCAGCCTCCTCAAACGGACCCTTAAACTTGTATGCATTAGCACCATAAATTATTTTTAAAGGCCACTCTGTGTGGAAAAATGGACTATTTCATGAACTGCAACTGTGCAGCTGTGTGAACTTGCTTGTTGAAGAGCATGGCCTATGGAAATTGCATACGATAGACGGCTTGTTTTGTGTTTGCAGCAGAACATCGTGAATCATATTTCATAGAAAAAAATTTTTCCTTAAAACTTGCTGGTTTTTAAATTGCATAACCCATAAAACGACAATGAGTAAATATGAAAAAAAAAAAACGATTAGACTTGCATTATTTGAAAAGAATGTAGGTGTACAAGAGTTGATTCCACACATCAGGTACACCAGGTAAACACCAATGAATACAGTCAGCATAACTGCTAGGATTTGCGAGCTGCTCTTTGGTTAGAGGCTCCCATTGCTTTCTGTAAGTAGAAGGGTGGCCATCTTTCCTATATTCTGAGAGCTGAGTGATGTTGATTATCTGAACTTTCACACCTCTTTCCTTCAAACCAAAAATTGTTGATTCGACAACTCGCATCATTCTCTTGTCAGATCCTCTTCCCCAGTAATCTTCTCTCCTGATTGGTTCAGTTTCGTTATAACAATTTTGGCTGCTGTTAATTCCCCACTCATCACCCCTGCGAGAAGTTCATGGAAGATAATAATGCTCATTTTCAGTTCATCTGCTCAAGTTTTCTGTAAGCTTGATTATGTTTTGCTCTGTTTGATTGCTGTGATAGAGGCTCAAAGCTTTTTTTCTTTTTTAATAAACTCCCACACACATTCATTTGTGTTGAGCTTTGAACTTAAAAATATTGTTGCAGAAGAAAAAACACCCAACCACTACACTAAGAATCTGTTTAGAATTTCTTTTTGTCTATTTTGTATTTCAGATCTCCATCACAATTTTATTTGGGGAAATACTTTATAGGAATTTTTATGGTGAGAAACTACTTTTTTGCGAATGTATGGTGGTTGTAAGAAAGTTATCATCAGACTTTCAAATATTAATATTTATAATTTCCACCACAAGTGTCTATGAATTTATTTTTTTCATCACAGATTTACAATCACTTTTACAAAAACTTACCGCCACCCCAACGTAACCCAAAGTTGGTTGCACAATAAAAATTCACTATCCAACTTTATCTTTAGCGTCACTTTTACCGAACTTTCTGGATTGATATCAATTTATACTCATATCTTTGCATTCATTGCAGCCTGAAATTGATCTTTATATCATGCATTATTTAATAGAATCTTTTGGTTTGCTTGAAAAAGTTTGTATATATCAACTTTCTACATGCCTTGTAATAGCAGGTACTTAGTTTATTCAATAAATTCATTTTATGTGTAAAAAGAAATATATAATGTTTAAGATGTTGGTATAGGACTCACCAGAAATGAGTAGGTGACATGCTCATAAAGAAGAGCTTGGTCTTTATATGATCCACATGGAACTCAAGCCACTCTGCCCAAGTCCTCAATGCCATCTCATAACTTCTGAGAATTTCAATATCTTTGTAGAATGCATCCTTATCATCAAAAGAACCCCACCTAAACAAACAAGAAACAATCAACCCATGTTTTGAGTTAAACAAAAGAAAAATGTAAACTTGTTGTGTGAATCTGCATTATTCATAAAAAATTTTGATTATTAGTTAAATATTTTTACATATCTAAAACCTACAATTTATTTATGCCACCCAAATTTTCTACACATCAAAAATATCACTATCATGCATGGGTTAAATGACATGTATGTAAAACTTGAAGTTTGCGTAATATGTACATAGGAAGTGAGTGGTATTTATGTATATCTTCCTTAAGTATTATATAAATAAAATATGATAAATAATACTTACAAGACCTTCATGGTGACTCTCCTCCACCAAAGATAAGAGTTGAAGACCAAAATATCAGCTCCCATCCAGTGCTTGGCATGCTTTTCGATGGATTGAGCTCGTATGATCCTGTCGGGTATGCGATGGTGCACTGGGTCATCAGAGTTCGACTCGACCAACAATGGAGCCCAATAGAATTCTATTGATGCATTGTACTCCTACAAAAGCTACCTAATTAAATTTGATGATATCATACCATTGGTGTGCTTCCAAGTTAACATATTGGTAGAATTTTGGAGGCAAAATTTCTTTCATGAATTTTGTTTGGTTAATACCTTGGCCTTGAAGGAGGTGAGAGATCCATTTGCTTGCATGGATTTCATATGATCAGGAATAACAGAATCCAGAAGACAAATCATGGAGATCCATTGGTTCCTATTTAGAGAGTCACCAACAAAAGCTAGTCTTTTTCCTCTCAACCTCTCCAGAAGTTTTGTGGCATTGAAGCTGTTCTGTGTTTTTAAGGAAATTAGATGCTTAGCTAAAATAATCCAAAGTCTTTTTTACAATAGTTGAGTACTACAGCTTGACATGTGCAAATAAACAAACTATTAATATAACATTAGTTGTCAATTCTAATTGTGTGTAGATAATAAGCAAGACATAAAACTTCACTTTTAAAAAGTGAAAGCAGTGGTATATTTTATGAGATATGATATATTTGTGTGGTATAAATATAAAATGTTAGGTGTTAGATATGTAAATATAGAAGAATTGGGTTTGTTTGTAAATGCCCCTATATTTTTGTGTTTTTTATTTTGCTTCTTTGCATAATGCAAATTGTTTGCCCTTGTCTTTTTCTCTAGGAAGATTTACATACATATCGCTTAATTCATATGCATTTACATTTAAAGTTCAATTTTTACATACATGAGATCTTACTCTTGCGTGATAAGGTGTATTTCACTTTTTAAAAGTTAAAATAGTGATATCTTTTTCGTGATGTGAAAGCTTTGTGTGCTAAATGTAAAAAAGTAGAGTTTAGGTGTTAGATATTTAAATACATAGGAATTAGGTGTTATTTATACAAGTAATTGCTTTCTTTATCATTTAAGAGTATGAATAGAGATATAGTAGTGCTATAAAAGTGTTTAAATTGCCAAGTAACATGTGAGTTGATTTTTTAGTTTATGTTGAAGTCAAATCATGGTACGTTATCAATCATTCATGAAGCATGTAATATGATGTTCCATTCACTAATATTTGCAAACAGTTGGTCAAAAAACCTTTGACTTTCCAAGTGATGAAGCCTCAAGTAAGTTCTAAGGAGGTTAAGGACCAGCTATCCCATGGGTTTCTTGTGTTATTTTTGCCTTGTTCTCAATTCTAATGCTTGTAAATATCAAGAGATATATATTGTTGCAATATTTGAAGAAAATAATAATTTTACAAGAAACAATCACAAGAAAATTTCTCTCTTTCAAGAGGAAGATTTGGTGGCATGCATCTACTAGGTCTTTGGTTCGGAGACAACAATCAACTCTCCATTAGCGACGAGATTGTAATTTTTTTTTTAAACTTCTTTCTTTTGTTCACTTTATTTCTCAGATTCTCTTTATAGTGATCTAAAATTTCTAACTACTCGGGCTTTTATCTACAATTTTCTTATAACTAAATAAACCCTACATGCTTGTCATCAATTCATCCATCCTATTTCGTACACTACTACTTCTAAATTTCAATTTCATATAGCACTACTTCTAAATTCAACCACAAACTATTATGCCCTCTTCCTCGCATCTTAAGCTATACACAAATCGGTTAATTTCATAATTTTTTTTTAATATCAACCTTCATTTAGATCCTAAATCCGATATTGCACTTGAAGGTTTTAACCATCTTTGGTCTCCCTCTTCCATATGCCTTCTATGCTCAAATCACATCCATTGTGTTCTTCTACATCTCAAACCAAATAAACTCTCCCCCATTATTCTCCACTTCAAAATCCACCACATGTCTTGCGTCATTTGGTACTAGAATTAAATAAGGACGGGATAAAAATGATTCGTCAAAATTACTTCGAAGTTTAGAAGATTGTCGACAAAAAAGTTTGTACTTGTATATTAACAATGCAAAATATCTCTCCAAAAATTTTATTTTATTCCTTTTCATCATGACGTATAATATGCAAATTATAAATAATTGTAGAAAGATTATTTAAGAACTAATATAAATGCTCATTTTGTAGCTAGAAGAGAATAAAATAATGATTAGGCAATATAATTACATATTCAATCTCTTAGAGAAAAGTATGTTTCACATGTAATAATTGTTTTTCCAGGCCATCTCTACAATAACAATCTTTGGAATCCTTAATCATTTCTTCTTAACATATACAATCTTGTATATCTCCTAAGTTCATATATTGCTGTTGTTATTCTCACTTCCCTTAAATATCATGCCTTCTTTATTATATTATATTATTATTATGATTATGATTATGATTATTTTGTGGGCACGTTTAGTGCTTGAACCTGACACTTTGAAAACTTTCACTTTTATTTTCAACAATGTGCTACGAATTTGAGCACCGTCACACCTCTTTGTCAACTCACTTTAACATTCCATTAAATTTCAAGTTAAAAGAATCCGTCATGATGCTTCTAGTTTGATGTTCGATCATGTAAGAGCTATAATCAATTGGTTTAACAACCTTTATGTTTTCCAAGTGTAATGACGCTTCAAGATATTTTCAAAAAAAAAGTTCAATTAAGTGGTTGACCAACCACCCTTTGAGTTTGTTGTGTTGTTTTGTCTTCTCCTCCATTATAATCAAAAGAAATAAAATTCATACTTTGGGGAGGAAATCCCTCATGACATAATGAAAAGCCTTCTTGATGGCATCTCCTATGATGACATTACTTACATATTTGTCCAATTTTGAACAAACTTGCAATCTCAAGTACTATCTTATTATGAGAAAGTTTGTGTTCATATTATTATTATTTTTTTATATATTTTGACCTTATATTTGCTCATTTCCTTTCTACACATCTAGCAAAAGCTTTCTTACACCTAAGTTCCATTAAATCTCTCAACAATCTAGCCATCATCCCTTTCTTAAATTCCATACACTAATACTTCCAATTTCAGCCCCAAAATACTATAAGATCCTCTTCACCAAATACTAGGCTATAAGAAAATAATTTCACAATCAGGACAAATTTTCTCAACTTCTGCATCTTGTGGAACTTGAATGCGTATTTAAATGTAAATACATAAGAATTGAGTGGTATGTAAGTAAATCTTCCAACAAAAATTGCAATTTATTTACGACAATTAATCCATTGTAAATTAAGTTTGAGAAAAAAATTAACTCTGAAAATCTAATTTGTTAGAAGTGTTTTTTTTTTTTTTTGCATCTACTATGTTGCAATCATTCAGATCCACTTACTAATTTGCAGAAAAATACTACATCAGGACTCCTAATGTAGAGCTACGTTCGGAGTCCAATGAAACGACGTCACGTGAAGGTGACAAAAAAATAAAAAAAAAATCGTTTTTAGCCTAGGGGAATATTCCCTCCGTATTATTCCGTATTATCCAGGTGTTATTGTGGTGGTATCAATGTGTTATTGTGTTCTGAGAATATTTCAGGTGTTATAATAGCACAATAACACATCAATATCATCACAATAATACCTGAATAACGCAGAATAACACAGGAGGAATAATCTTCTATATTATCGGGACGGATCACAGAAAAGCGCGCACGTTTTCTTGAAGCCACGTGTCCTCATATCATTGAACTCCAAACATAACTCTACATTAGGAGTGCTGATGTAATATTTTCCCCTAATTTACAGTGTTATTTAAGGTTTTGTGGTGAAATTTGTCAAACCCCGCAATTTAATAAATTGTAATTATATTTATGCCACTTGACAATCACGCACAATTATTGACTTGCAGTACGAATTTGTCTTAAAAGCAGTAATTAATGGCGAAATTGTCGCAGCATTTCACATCAATAGCATAATATTAAAAACAAATGAAAACTTCCATATGTATCCTTTTCACACCTAAATTTTCAAAATTATAAATATTATTTAAAAATTGACATTAATTATCACATTTTAATAGTCAAATCTAAATGATATGTGTGAAAAAATGAAAATTTAGGTGTGAGATACGTAAATCCGTAAGAATTAGGTGCTATGTATGTTATTTTCCCAAAAAAAATGCATTGAATAAATACTAAATAATTAAAAATAAATTTTTTTAATTAAATTATCAATTAATTAATAGTCCGTGTAATCATTTTATTTAAAAAACAACTCATTTATTTTTTTGATGAATTTTTCCTCCATCTCGCAGCCACTAGCACTGCAAGGTTGTCATCTGACTCGTACCAATTTTATATGAGTTTTGGTGAGTCATGCCATGTTGCTTCACATGATGTACAATATAATTATAAACTGCTATTATTTAGGTATTTGCTAATATTTTATATTTATATTCCCTCAGTAGGCTGCCAATCAAAGAAAATTTCCTCCAAAATATTAGATAGGATAAGGTGCCAAAATAGTCCCCAACCCACAAATATATGGATGTTTTACGGTTCGTTTGGGGGCGGCGTTGTGGCGGTGCAGCACCACATCGTAATTTTGTCTGTTTGTGTAAACTGCATTTTGGACATCCTTTTCAGAAAGCAGCCGCTGAAATCTGTATTTTCCACCACTCCTAAGTGCGGTCCGACTTAAAAAAAAAATATATTTTATAATAGTCATCACAGTTTTTTGAAAATCAGATTAATATTTAGCAGTTTCACAGCTGCAGCTGTCCCAAACAGATCATTAGTTTTAGTGTTTATAGAAGTCCCAATATAATGCCTCATTATTTTAAAATTGACTCTTATAGTCTCTCACAGATACTATTCCAACCAAATTTAAAGAATCTATAGACTAATTTGATAATTTTATAAACTTCGAGACAACAATCCCACGTAAAATGTCAGACAACTATTTTGACACTTTGCTCTATTAGACACTTATGAAGATCTCTATTACTTTACCGTTTCATTAAACTTCATCAAATAGTTATTATTCCGACGAAAAAGAGAAAATTTGATCCGTGTGAATGAAGAAATGAAGTATCATGCCTTTTTTTCTAAGAATAAAGTAATGAAACCCCCCCAAGGCAACTACAAAGCAAGAACTAAGTGCACAAAACAACAAAGAAAAGAAACAGGGAAGATGACATACCTTGGAATGTCACAGCCATGTGGCTTCCATCTCCAGTTCTGATACCTAAGATTCTGCCTCCCAAACTTCTCACACGCAGACTGATCAGACATGAACTTGCACCTCTCCGAATACAAAGGACCAGTCGTGTTATCAAACACCCAATTCCCTGCAAAGAGATCACACTCCCCGGCTTCCGTCGGAAACACCGCCGCCGCCGCATCGTGCCAAAACCCGCCTCTTCCATCACCATTTTTCATGGAGGTGAAGGAGAAGACGACGACGAATGTGATGATGATGACGGCCATGAGGGAATTGAACCGGCACCGGAGGCTCGATGAACCCCTCACGGCGAGCCGATTGTGCTTCTTTGCCATCTCAAGAACATGCCATAGCCCTCCTCCTTTTTCTTTCTTAGAGGAAGGATTTTCTTCCATGGCTATCCCTTTTGAGTTCATTGAAAGAAGGTGGGATTCAGCAATGAATTGGGAGGAGGAGGTTGTGTTAGTGGGGGGGGAGTTGGGGAGTCCATTTTTGTGTTAAATGACTGAAATGCCATTGGTGTGTTTTGATTAGTGGGGGATAGTTGGGTAAATAGTATTTTGGGGAGTAGGTTTATTAAAAAGTAATGGAACAACTCCAATGTCCAAGTGGTCCTCTGTTGGTTCACTCAATATGTCAACATTTCTATTTTTATTATATAATATGGAATACTTTACTCATGGTTTGGGTTGTTAACAATAATATTTAAAATCAGCTTGAATATATTTACTGTGGCTTGAAATTGAATCGAGCTCGATTCGGCTCGAAACTGAAATGAGCCGACTCAAATTGAGTTATTTGGATCTGTTTCAGCTCCGAATAGGCTCAATCCGGCTCAAAATTGAAACTAACCAGCTCAAATTGAGTTATTTGGTTTTGTTGCAGCTCAAAATCGTCTTGAAATTGGATTGTTACTTGTTTTATTCAATTTTACTTAGCAATATATATATATATATATATTAAATAAAACATATTACTAGGCGATTCATATAGGGCTTGAAAAAAATTAGGTCTGAATTTTGGTTCATAGCTTGGCTCGTTTATTTCGATCCGATCTCGATGCGAGCTAAAATTCGAATTGTTCTTCGATTAACGATCTAGATCGAGCTAAATTGAAATCCCTACTCATGGTGAAGATTATTTAGGTTCTCATATTTTTATAATGATGGAAAATGATCTTACGTTTCATTTTATGTGAAATCAAATGAATCTGTTCTATAATAAAATGCTGTAATAAATCTGAATATTATTTAATTATTATATAAATGATTAGTTGTAATGCAAAGGAGTATTTTTCATTTATATCAACTAATTCCTATATATTTACATATATAACACCTAAACTTCATATTCTTGATTTATATCACCCAAATCTTTCACATCACATCTAAAGCATCATTATTTTGACTTTTCAAAGTGCAACACATTTCCATTTATAAATAAGGTAGAATATATATATATATATATATATATATATTCGTAACCATATAATAAAAAATGTTTGCAGCATTATTAGAGAACTGTAAATGGACCAACATGTTTGCGTGTATGACATCCCAACATATGATGATTTTCTAGTCTACATAAGAAAATATTTTAGCTGTTGTGTAGTTCTATTGCCAGTTGTTCCACCTATGTTTCTGGAAATTGAATAAAATATATTGTTGAAGAACTTATATATGGGGATTTTTTTGGGGTAGAGTGGGTGCTTGAAACCAGTATTTTTAGATTCTTCATTTTATTTCTATTTAATATGCTGCACATTCTAACACTTATATATGCAGATTTAGTCGTGTAGCTCGCCGTGACTCTTTGGTAGTGCGGCCAAGCGTAAATCTTCTGGGGTCATGGGTTCAATCCCGCCTAATTGTATCTGTCTTGCAGTACAAGATCGAGTGTTTAGACACAAGAGGTTGGCTGAGTGCTCGTATTATAACCTCCGGCTATTTTTTTTAAAAAAATGCAGATTTATTGATAGTAGTATATCTATGTGAGCATGCTGTCACGGACTAACTTTCATCGAGTTATCCGTGCGGCTTTAGCGCTGTTTCTTAGCACTAAATCAGCCTAACTTTCCCAACTAACAATTTAAAAGCACTCTCTTGAAAGTAGAATAGGAAGAAGAGTTAGAGAAGATAAAGCTTCACTAATAAAGAGAGATTACAAAGCTTGAAAGCTTGAAACCTTGGATGCCTTAGAATGAGGGAAGGGACACTTATTTATAGCTCCCTCCATAGCTTTTGCCTTACATATTGTCAATGTGGGACTATTCTCCAAGGGGAGCTTTACAATATAATATTATAGCTTCTAGATAGTTCTACACTATTCTTATGTACATACATATTCTAGATTCTTCTAGGTTGTTCATTAGACCTCCATCTTCTAGAATACTCCGTCATGTCATAATATTGGCTGGGCGTGACAATACGCAGACCTAGATTATGTCTAAGGTGAGCAATTGCGCGCATGAAATTTGTAATTTCTCAGCATAAATAATAAAATTTAATATTTTTTTTATAAAGTTTAGGTACTTTAATTAGTAATTTTAACCCTTGTCAACATATTTTCATGCCCAACACATAAAAAGGAGTAGACATTTTGTGATTTTGCCTGCCCAAACAAATAAGTCAGCTTCCGCCCCTGCATAGTATCTAAAGATAAATATAATGTATATATTTTTTTTATTTTTACTATATCTACCATAACTTTCTCGAATTTAGAAGGCATTATTTTCTCTTAATTGCAAAGGTCAAATGAAATGCATGAGAACATGAATACAAGAAAACTAATGTGTTTATCTAGTCATATGCTGTCTACATCTTGATGTGATGTTGTTATGATTTTCTTTGGTTTCTTACTAATAAATCCCTTATATTTTACCAAATTAGAAGTTTACCATATTTTAGGTTTATGTAAGTTGAAGACCTCTCTTGGTGACTCTCTTAGGAGCTCTTTGGAACTGTGATGAAAATTTGCAGGATACAATTAGTGCTATTTATAAGGGCCATTTTGAAAACTCCTCATTTAAAGTTCCTTCATGCCAAAGTTTCACATATATGTATTTGGTGATCTAGAGTAGTTGAAACTAGAGAGTCCAAGTTGGAGAATCGCTTGGGGCAGCAAAAGGCACTATTGTCTTGAATATGAACTTCATCATTGCTGCATTTTACCTGCATTTGACCCCTTGTGATTTACTTTCTAATATTCTGTCTAAATTATAATTCAGCTGAAATACACACACACACACACATGAAGGCAAAGAAACCAACATATATTAAGATCTGAAGCATCCATCTGAACAAAAACATGGCGCTTGAAGGAGTCTGTTGCTTTACTCTTACCCTTTTAGTTGGAACTAATTTCCTCTTTTTATTCCATTTTTTGGTGATTGTGATACCATATGCCATTATATATCTACATTTTGTTCTCTTATAATGTCATTATAAAGGAAGCTTGGATCTTCATCAAAATTTGATTTGCATCTCAGGGTGAGACTATGATTTTTAAGACTTCATTGCCATTTGAATTTTATAGCTATTTTTCTTTTTTATATTTATATATATAAAACTTGCCATATTCGAAAACTAATTAACATAGTGGTTTAAAGAAGGTGAGGAATAGGGGTGCATGCGAGTTGAGGCTGAGCGAGTTCAAAGCTTGTTTTTATTTGACACATTTAAAATTATTTTATTTGAAATGATTCGTGAATAACATGTTCTTATTCAGCTTGATTCAAATTTACTTATTTGTTTCAGCTGTTTTTTTGGATCAAAATTAGTTCAAATGATTTTAAAAAAGAATACAAGGGAACATTTAAATACAACATTAATATATTATATATATATATCAGTATTATTATAATAAAAATAATTTAACTATTTAATTAACTTGAGCCTAAACGAGCTGAACATGACCAAACAAAAGTTTATTCTTATTCGGCTAGTTCATAAACTGAGCTTGAAAAAATAATTTATGTTTTAATAATTAAATTGAACACATGCTACTCAATGAACGGAATATAAGTAGTTTATGAACAATAATTTTTTTTTGATAGTCCTGGTGAGAAGTAAACTTCGACAAAGAGGCCAAAACGGGTAAAGGCTTTGGTAGACCCATTTGAGTAAACTCATGCGATTCAATCTAATATGAATATATCGCATAATATATCCTATAATTATAATCTTAACATTATACTAAAAAAATTCTGATCATAGATGTAGAAGTGTGGATTTCTAATCCACATAAAATCTTTATTTTTCAATGATGATTTTAATTACTTCTAATTTCGTTAAATTACTTATAATATTATTTTGCACAAAGGCTTGAAGGAGCAAACAAAGAAGAGTTAAAAGTTATGTGAGATGATATGTGTACATCATGAATGCGCTAGCGCGAATCCCAAGGAGATCCAACCATCCAAAAGGAAGTACAACAGATAAGGGCCCATGGACATGAAAGCAAAAGGCTCACTTATCCAAGTGGATGTAGCCATTTGAGCCAAGGATCAAGGCTAACAAAGTCAGAAGAAGAATAAGAAGTATGATCCGCACCCAAACCAATCAAACTTGGGAAAGACAGATAAGCACCCAAGCTATCCACCACCAGAAAGCTTCGTGAAGGCATCGACCTACCTTATAGTAGATTCGACAAAACAAAAAAATCTAGTTCCTTGACATCACTAGCCGTCCCATGGAAGCATTCGAGGTTTCTTATCAAGGACCAAGAATTGACAATAAAATAAAACCACACAATCATCCCGAATGACTTCTTTGTCAGGAAATAAAATATATATCGAGTTACTGCTATTCACCCTTTGCTAGATACTCCAGTCTCATTTTGCTCGATAGCCAGGAATCGAAGGTAGAAAGCCAACCTAGATTAACCGATCAACAAAGCCTAGTCGATCAAGTTAGTCCAGTCGACCTGAAGCTAATCGTCCATTAGACTGGCTGCATTGACTCAGCCTGGCCGACTGAACCAACCTTATATAGTCGAATTCATGCTAGCCCAGCAGACCGAGTCAAAGTGGAGCCTAACAGTAGGCTCATACATGAAATATATATCGAATAGCCCATATAATTCTCATTAAAGCAGAGACAGAAATATAATATCACATATTGTATCATCTTTCCTAAAAATAGGGAGATCATTTTATGACAATATACTAATAGAAAATATGTTTTACTATTCACTCCCCTCTCTCAATATTTCTCTCATTTCTTACACTCTAACTCGTGATTCTCCAAATAGGATTCAACAATATGGATATTTAAAATAAAAATTGTGTTGATATTTTATAATTAAATTATTTTATCATAAATTCCTAAATAAATATCTTCATCTAATATATCATTAATTTAGATAAAATTAATTTTTAATCTTTTATCATAATTAATTTTTTTCTTATAATAAAGGTTACTACTTACAAAAAAAAATTAAATGATTATATATAGATATATATGTATGTATGTATTTATGTATATATGTATATATATGTATGTATGTATGCATATATATATGTTTGTATGTATGCATGTATGTATGTATGTATATTTAAATAAGAATGGCAGGATGATATTATACCAGCCTCGACCATCCCTAATGTAACTAAGAATTCGAGTACCACACCCTACACTCACGGGGAATCGAGCCCCAGACCAGAGGGGACTTACAACTGACAATTAGATGCTCGATCAACTGATTTGAATATATACATACATACATACATACATACATACATATATGATATATGATGAATCTAGATTTGTTCGATCATGCCCAAGAAATAGAGCATAGTAGATAAGTGAAGAAAAGAAAGAGAGCACATGAATGAACATTAAAATTGTGCAACCCTAGTTAAATAGTGATATTAAAGGGTATTTTTAGGAAATGGGCATTAATAAGACCGGAGCCTAGAAAAGGCATCCACTCGGGTGTATAATCCTGTCGACCGCATTGCGGGTCATCTTTAAAATGTTTGGGCGGTTGATATTGTTCGTTTTGCCTCTCTGATGAATCTCACCGGATCAATCGTGCGAAATTCGGCCAGGAAACCCTTTGAAGGGGATGTAGAGGTTAGGCTAGCAAGAGCAAGTTGGTCAAAGGCAAACCCTTGATTTCCTATTGGTAGGCCCTCTCCTATCACGTCCTTGCGACTATTGGATTTCTTTAAGATTCATTTTGACTCTTATGTACAATATACATCACAAACATACAAACATTCGGTTGGATTTCTAAAGTATTAGATAGGTTGTATGGTCCATGTCCAGGTAGCAAGATAATTGATTAGATATAAATTTGGCTGTACCTTAATTAAGAAGAATGTCATATCCTCTGTACAACCTATTGATGAAATTGAATTGACGCTTTATAGTTCCCTGACAATTATTTTTGTATTATATCATTGCCAAATTAATTTTAATCGGAAATTTTGTAGCGACGCATTTGGAGTTTTATGCATCGGTAAAAGTTAAACAGCACGATGCCAGCATTTATCTGTATACATGTTCAAATAAATAATGGAAGATTTACATGCAGATCACTTAATTCCTACGTATTTACAAATCAAACCCCTAAACTTTAATTTTTGCATAGATATCATTTTATCTATGCAGGAAATGATGTACTTCAGTTTTTAGAGGATATATTTTTAATGTGATATGAAAGATTTAAGTGGTATCCATGTAAATATAAGTTTTTAAGTGTTACATATGTAAATATAGTAATTGGGATGGATGCACAGGTCAGGGAAAAATTTGCTACGCAGCGCTGCGTACATAATTGAGGTTATATTCACGTTATATTGACATTATATTAGCGTTATATCCCCTGTAATCTCCATATAACTTTCATGTAACTTACATATGTGTGAAAACAGAAGCTCGGAACTTATTTGTAAGTTCAAGTAGGTTACAGATAAGTTATATGAATGTTACATGGAGGCTACAGACGATATAACACGGATATAATGCAATGCGGATATAATTTGAATATAACCTTCATTATGTACGCAGCGTTGCGTACGTACGTAAGTCTTGCTTCTGAGTTCTGAACATTACCTCATTGTCTCAAAGGAAAAAAAAATATTTACATACATACCACTCAATCCTTGTGTATTTACATATCTAACATTTAAATTTCTTTTTTTAGACATATATTATCTTAACTATACATGAAAAAGTGTATGTCACTTTTTGAAAGTTAAAATAGTGAAACTATTGATATCACATGACAAATTTAGGTTTTATAAATGTAAAAAATAAAATTTTGGGGTTAGACATGTAAATAAATAGGAATTAGGTGGTATGTATGTAAATGCCCCAAAAAAAAACAAAACAAAATCTAATGTAAATAAATTTAAGGAAAAAATAATAATAAAACATGAAATCCTTTCAACATTTCATTAAAAAGGTTGGGGAGCTCCACATAAAGCGTTAACAAGAAGACCTTTTAATTTTTATGTAGAAAGTATGATATTCATATAAAAGTATAAAATAATTTTTTCTTATATTATCATAAGATAATGTTTAAAAGCTTAAAAGAGAAGTGTTTATATAACATAAAACTAAAGAATCCTTATATTTTAAATAAAATTGACCATCTTATTGTTAGTATAAAACCATTATGTTATATATATATAT